TCCAATGCTATATTTTTTCGGTAAGTTTCTTTTTGGTCTTGATGCCTTTAATTTCTTCCCTCCCTCTGGTTTTCGGGAAAAACAGAGGGAGGGTGAAACATGGACCGGAGACCTCGGTGGCAGACATCTAGCCGAGACCATTTTAACCAGTGATGGAGTTGTCTGGGCAGTCACTTGCTTAGCAGAGAGTTCTTGGCATGGAATTAAAATGGAACTTTTGGGACTCTTGAAGTCTTTGTAAGTTGCAATCAATTGTTTCGCAGAGGTGGAGCTTTTTAGAGATGGCCTAGAACTCCACTTGTATTTCCCAGCATTGCTCCAGTTCCATTTTGCAGCATTTTGTTCCAGGCTGAAAGGACCAGAACTGCTTTTCCTTTTTTCTCGATTTTTATCTATACCCATTGTCTGAAGACTTAAAGAGTCAGAAAGCTTTGGCTGTCTCCCTTTGGATAGAGCTTTGGAGGAAGACGGTCGTTCATTAACTGCCAGGGTGCAGAAGGTGGAGGGCAGCCTTGGCCGCTCTTTTTGTACAGTCAAGTGTTGTAATCTTTCCATTTCCAGTAAACGGGTTATCAAGCGATCAACAGAGCTTTCTGCAGGTTCCATGGTCCCTTTCCAACTCTCAGATTTTGAAAGGGCCAATTTGTGCAAGTCCAGGGTGTTGAAAGGAGGAGGGAGAAAATCAGGATACGGGAATACCTCACTCGATTCCTCTGTGAAAGGCTCTTCAACGGTGTCTATTGTCTCTGGTTTTAAGTTCAGGTCCATCTTTTTAAAATAGCTCAGTAAAGTGTCATTTGCTTTTTCATTTTCTGATAAATCGCTTTCATCTGTTAAATTTTCTTCCACGCTGCTGTTTCCATATTTCAATTCCAGTTCAGCGGAGAGAAAATGTCACTGTTGATGTCTTCAGTTGAATACAAAGTAAGGCGAGGTTCCATTCTGTCCTTAAAAAGTCTCCGTCAGCGTAGGGCCAGCAGAGACCTAAAGGCATCTGCAGACTAGGGTAGGAACCAATTTGCTTATCAACTGAGGCACTAAGAGGGTCGTTCATCGTAAACAGCCTTATGGAATTATTGGTTACATTAAAGCAGTCTCCATTGAAGATTTCTTGAAATCCCTGAAAAAAATGATTTCATGAATGAATGACTTGTTGCCTGGAATGAAAATGCTGTCAAAATGATAACAAATAACCTTTATCAAAGACTGTTTAATGTTTAGTTCCCAGTGACACATTGATCTACCTAGCTGTAACAGAAATGTTAATTTCCTAATATGCCTTAATCACAGTGAAATGTATGCAATTTTGAAAAGTATAGATTGAGATATTAACTGGGCATTCCATTGTCCATTCTCAGGTGGAGAGCAATCTAGTGCCTGAGGAACACTAGACTAATTTTATATATTTATCTTTGAACATATTGTACATGCAGTTAAGAAGTCTGAAAAAGAGGCTATCCAGTGCAACTGAAATTACAGTGAAATGTCTATTGGCCTAGAGTTAGATAAAAAGAGACACTTAGGGGCCTCCCTGGTGGCGCAAGGGTTTAAGCACCACACCATGAAGCAAACCGCAGCCACTGCAGCATGAGTTCGATCCCGGCCAGCCAGGAAGCACCCACATGGGGCAGCAGATCTCTCCTGTCTCACCTGCTGCTCCCCTCAGCAGTGTACTTCGGTCAATCTGCCCTCTGCTCTCCGACTCTATCTCTTCGATCTTCAGTCTGCCATTCTGTTCACCACTCTATCTCTGGTCGATCCTCTCAGCCTCTGGCCATACCCGAGCTCTAATACATAAATAATAATTTTTTTAAAAAAAAGACACTTAGAATGTTACCTAATGAAGGTTACTTAATAAAGGTTTTACTTTAGTCATTATGCTTTTAAGATTTTATTTATTTATTTTTGCGTAGAATTGGGGTGTCGGCCAGAGGTGGGGGCAGGTGAGAGGATTCACCAGAGACAGAGTGGGGTGTGGAACAGGCAGATCTACTGAAATATACTGCTGCGGGGAGCAGTGGGCGAGAAAGGAGAAGTCTGCTGCACCCACTTCAGTCCCCAGTGAGGACTGAACTCATGCTGCTTCGGAGGGATCACAGTGGTAATGCTGAGACTTACCCCAAGACCACCAGGGAGGCCCTATCCATTATGCTTTTTAAAAAATTATTCTAATATACAAAGAAACAAGACAATGGCTATTAAAAATTATTCCAGACATAGCCCACAGTAATGTTCACCTGATGGTGCACTTTTGTTTTAGGAGTAGGTAGGAGAGACGTGGCGAGGCAGACCTCTCCTGTCTCGCCTGCTGCTCCCCTCAGCAGTGTATTTCAGTCAATCTGCCTGTTCTGTTCCCCACTGTGTCTCTGGCGAATCCTCTCACCCCCCGCATCTCTGGACTGTACCCCACGTCTTGTATATGCATAAATAAATAAATCTTAAAAAAAAAAAGAGCATGAAATTTGGAGGTTAGAAGACTAGATTAGAAGACTAGTCTTTCATGGATGCCCAACTTCTAACTCTGCCCTTTATCAGGCCCTTCCAGTATCAATAATGAAAAGCTATAAACACATTATTCTGGGTAGTCCCGCAACAACCTCGTGAGACAGGCACTTTGATTTTCTACCTTTTATGGGTAGGGAAACTGAGGCACAGACAGGTGAGGTTTGCGCATCTAGTAAGTGGAAGAGCTGGGAATCAAAGCCATGTGCTGGGACCCCAGGTCCGTGGCCTTGGCTGCTGCCCTTGACTGCCTCAGTTTGTGTTTGCTCCTCTGTCCATGTGATAAAATTGACTTAATTTGACCTCTCATTGAAATTCCTGTTCCCAGCTGAGTTCTTTCCAGTCTCTCCTACCCTGCAGGCACCAGTTTTCCACGGAACATTAGTCACTGGGCTTCCCAGGTTCACCCCTGAAATTCCAGCCTGAGGTGAGCTTCACTGAGCCTATCAGAGGTAAAATCATCAGATTAGGAAATAATTGTTATCAAGGGAACCACCCTGTTGTGAAACTGGGTCAAAAGAGAGGAAAAGACCTCAGGATCGCCATTAAGAAATACACTGTGTGTAAAGGTGACATGACAAGGCTCGATGAAGTGTTAATTTCGAATAACAGTAATTTGTGTTTTTAAGAAACATTCTAGCTGGTTCTAATACACATGAAAATTTAAGAGGGGCCTCCCTGGTGGCACAAGGGGTTAAGACGCAACCTATGAAGCTGTCCACAGCTTCTGCAGCATGAGTTCGACGGTTCGATTCCCCGCCGGCCAGGGAGCAACCCACATGGCGCAGCAGACCTCTCCTAACTCGCCCGTTGCTCCCATCAGCAGTATACTTTGGTCAATCTGCCTGTTCTGTTCCCCACTCTGTCTCTGCTGAATCCTCTCACTCCCACACCTCTGGCCTGTACCCCAGCTCTTGTATGCATAAATAATCTTAAAAAAAAGAAAATTTAAGAACAAAAAATATATATATGTACACACAAACACACCTTTATATATATATATATATATATATATACACACACACACACACTATATCTATCTATCTCTCTATATAAAAGCATTCAAACCCAGGTAAGATCTGAGAAGTAATATACCATAGTGGTGATGAGCGAGAACCAAGCTACTTTTACAACCTGGTTCTACCAGTCATTGATGGTGTGGCCTAGGTGAACTGCCTGTCAGCCTCAGTGTTATCATCTGTAAAACAGGGTGATGGTGACAGAACCTACCTTATAGCATTGCTGTGATCATTCACTGAGTTCAGTGAGGGTTCAATGAATTTAAATTCTTCCACGCACGTGGGAAATTACTTTTCTATTACAATTCCTCTTCCCTTCAAAAAACAGGTCCAAACTCTATCCATCTTAACACTTCTTGTAAGGGAAGTAAAGGCTTAATCACCCATGTCCCGGTTATCTCTGTGGGGTCTGCCAGTCACATGCCCTGGTGAAGGGCAAGTCTCTGTAATCTCCCACTATTTGTACACAATGCTTTTTTCTTCTAGTTGTGTTCGGTTCTAGAATTTCAGACGAGTAGTTATCGCATCTGTAGTTGACTTTGTTTTAGTCATTTAGGGGTTCACAAAAATAAGTAAGTACGCGCTCACCTGTTCTCTGTGGCACTTCCTTCGTTAAGAGGATAACCCCATAACTGAAATGACCCTTGTTTACTATTCTGATAAGAGAAAAACCATGGACAATTTAGTGACTGCATGGATTTCTAAACAACACTTTACTAAGAGTATGATGAATAAATCCCCACCTGTGTTATTTTGTGAGCAGGCTCTGACAAATTAAGGTCTAGCATCATTTGCTCTATTGGAATTTCCAGATGGTTCTATAAAGCAGAGGAAACTTTTGAACACAACATATCTCTGCTCCCCTATTCTTCTAAGAATGTACAGTTCTTGTTCTAACCAAGAAATATGCAGTCAAATCCTTGGATACTCCTCTTTAATCCACACAGACGTCATTTGTTTTTGCTGGCTTCAGCAGCAATGACTTTAATCATTAATACTAAGTGTAACCTAATGAGTCTTGAATATCATGAAAGACTGTCTTTCTTCTAATAGGAGGTATTTTATCTTTTGATCCAAAAAAGGTAAATGAAAGATAAATTTTCACACTAATAATAATATGTTAAACATTTCAATAGCTTTATGATATCTTAAGGGCCGAGACTACTTCCCTTTTTGCAATCTCTAGAAAACAATATTTTCACTATCTACAATGTTAATTTTCACTTACAATATTGTTATATTAACTTAATATAATATTAATTGAATAACCAATTTGCACCCCTGGAAAACAGTAAAGGCTTTGACTTGCTTAAAGAACTCTATAGAAGGGAAATGTAAAGTTTAACTTTGAGGAAAGAAACTTTTTTTCAAGAACATATATACATATAATGTTTAATACTGTTTTCTGTATTATTTAAAACCAAACATTTATCCTTACCTTGTTAATTTTGCCTGAAAGAATGTATATGAAAAAATGACAATTAATAATTAAACAACACTGGTTATATCAAAAAGCAAACCCCCTTTAATATGAGCAGCTATTCATGTTGTAAATATAAATCTCCATGTGTTTACAATTATCGGTGTAAAGATAGCTAGAGTTTCTTACCACCTGCTGCACTCTCCCTTCCAGGGAGGTGGTTTTTATTTTCAGACACAGGTCCTTCTGAATCCAGGCTCCAGTGAGGTAAATTCTAAAACAATATTCATTTTAAGATAATGTTAAGGAAAGTTCAAACTATGCATGATGTTACATGCCCTTTGGGCAAAGGATGACAAAAGGTACAAGGCCCCTCCCTCCCGTAAGGACAGGCCAGCATTTCCAAGGAGTGGGCCATGGCCTCTTATCTGACCTATCAGCTTTTGACAACATAGTGCAGACATGGAAAGGCTCTTACAATAATTACAGTTTCATTCTCATTTTCTTAAAAGTCATGGCACACAGATTTCCAAATTAGATGTTTAGGAGAGAATAAAATGTCCAGTTCAGGGTATTCCTGGTCCATAGGGTACATTCACTAAATTTTCTGTATCTGAATACCAGACCTGAAAGCCTATAAAATTTTTCCATCAACCAAAGAAAACCCTCTCATCGTCACATCATCCTTGACGCTGATCAGTCCCCGGCACATCCTAGACTCCAGATATTGAGTAACTCTCAGGAAATATCCCAAAGAAAACCCCCAAAGGAATGAGAACGGTGCTAAGAAAGACTGGGGGAATTCTGGAAACTGTGCCGAGCACTCTGGGAGGGAAATATGGAGTGTGTATAGAAGAGGCTTGTAATAACTTATCCTAGAGAAGGGGAAATGATGAGGCAGTTTAAGTAATTTTTAAGAAGTGAACTCTGTTGTTTTCTATCTCAAACAAGAAAACCCCTTTATATATTAAACTCTAACCAATATCCAAATGAAGTGCTAGGAGTTCAGTATCAGCTCTCCACACTGAGGTGGAACAGGCAGAAATGAGCTTAAAGTCCGTGTGGAGATTTAGTTGACCCGCAAGGAAGTTGTCTCCTTGGAGACAAGAAAGGGTAGTTGAACACTGGAAGATAGGCCACAGGTGATTTTCTCTGGAGATTTTTGAAAATTAAGTAAAGTTCTCTGCTCCCTCGGTACAGGTCTAGTCTCTACATGATACTCACTGGGGGAGCCTTTAAAAAATAACAGTTGAAAAAAAATACCACAGATTCTGATTCATCAGGATTAACGTTAAGTTCCACTTATCTGTATTTTTAAAACCTCCCTGATAGATTCTCAAGTTTCTTTCAGTCATGTAATCCTAGCATGCTCAAGTACAACATAACATGTGAGAGAACTAGTCTTATATTAACAATAAAACTAAAATCATCAAATGTGGAAAGTGGCAAGGGAGACTCAACATCACATGTGGTGTCAGCTAGACTGCAAACTCCCGAATGGTTGGGGTGGGTTCCCCTTTTCAAGAGCCCATCTGCCTTACCAACATTTTCCCACAAAACATGTGTGAGAAGCTTTAAAAAGGTAAATACTGCCTGATTGATCAAGTAGCATCTTTAACAAAACCCAATTGCTATAGGAAATGTTGGCGAATTAGAGAGGCTGGCTAACTTTTGCTTTGTGAAAAGAAAGAAACTTTCTCTGTTTCATATGTTCCAAGAGAGGACTCGGTACAGACCTCTGGCAGAGAGAAAGCAGCAAGGGGCCTCTGCAGAAGGGGCAATAGGGGAGCCGCTACCCAAACACTCAAGTTCAACAGCATCTGCCATACCTCATGAGAGATGTCTGAGGCCCGCAGGTTGGTGCCACCGGTCTCCCCGTTTCTTCTCCCCATTTTGCTGTAGCTGGTCCTGTGTTCCCTTAAAATCCTATACAGGTTGTGGGACAGGCACATGGATGGGTGAGGCACAACATTTATTTAAGAGAAAACATGAGCTTTGGCTCCCCAACTAAAGGAGGTGAAGAAAATGCTTAGGAAGCAGGGGAGGGGCCTAGGAAGGCAGGCTGGGGACAGCATCAGGTAGTCAACCAGCTACTCAGTCAGAAAATGGGGGCAGAGAGGGCCCAGCCAGTGGGAAGATCTCCTGACAAGATTAGGAAATGCCAGGGTGAGAAAGGAGACATCAGGCAGGAGGATAAAATACAAATTAGACAAAAGACAAGGAATTCTCTGGAACTTACCACAGAGGGCTAGTTCTGTCCCAGGCATTCAAAGCTTCTGGATTGCGGGATGAAAGCCCCAGGCGGGCCCGCGCCCCAGACAGTTCAGAGACACTAACAGGCCCTCAGGAGCCAACACCGCTTTCCAGACCAAACTATCATGCGCCGCCTCCGCCCACCCCGGCCTGAGGTAAAAACCATTGAATCTCTGGCTCTCAGAAAGACTCGCACATGAAAGCCACCGCAGTCATCAGCTATTTTCTCAACGTTTACAATTTATTGTCTGTAGGGGCGGGTGGTGCTGAGAAGTGGGGCGAGGGCTAAGTTGGGGGCGGCGGGGGGGGGTGGGGGTGGGGGTGGCGCTCCCGCTTCGGCTCGGCTGGGGGGGCGCGGGCGGCTGGGGGGGCGGGGGGCCGCGGCTGGGAGGGGGCCCGAGAGAGGGGTCGGGCCCGGCGTGGGGCGGCGGCCGGAAGGGAGGGCCCGGGACGGGGCGGCCACTCTTACCCCGTGGCCCACGTGTCGTCCCCGGCGTCGTCCCCGAGGGCGCCCCGAGGCCCCGGCGCCTCCGCGTGCGGCTTGGCGGGCGCCGCGTCCGGCTCGGCCTTCCTGCCGCGGGGGGACAGGGAGGGCAGCGCGGGCAGCGGGCCGCGGGCGGGCGGCCGGCGGGGCCCGCGGGCCGGCGCGGGGGTGCCCAGGGCGGCCTCGCCGGCGGCCGGGCCCCGCGGCCGCGGTCCTCGAGCGGAGCCACCCGCCGCGGCCCCGCGTTCCACTGGGGCCACCGGGTACCGGCGCCCGCAGGCGCGGCGGCCCAGCCGCTGGGCCCGGAGGGGGTCCGCAGGCCTTCGCGCCCCCGGACGGCCGGCGCCACTCGGCCATGGCGGGCGGGGGGTGGGGGGGCCGGCGCTGGGCGTCGGCGCCTTCCGGGGCCTGACCTTGACCCGAGCGACCCAGCGGGGCCCCGCGTGGCTCCGGGTGGGCCCCCGGCCGCCAAGGCCTGGCCCGCCTCTTCCTCCCCAGGGCCGGGCCAAGCACCGAGGGTGCCCTGCCCGGCGCTGCGCTGGACTCGGGGCTCGATGTGGCCAAGTTCTCGCCAGACTCTGGCAGGCCACATGGGACGAAGGGGCGCAAAGGGAGGCGCCCGCTGACAGTGCGCCCACCACGGTCAGTTCTAGGTCAGGGGCATCACTTGATGGTCAGAAAAACGAGTGTTTTTTGTTTTTTGAGGTTTTTTTTTCATCTAGGATTCACTTCAGACCAAGGGAGGCCAGTTTTGCCCTTCGAGTATCTCTTACTTGGATAGCGTGAGGTAAGTCGGGGTGAGGATGGGAGTGGGGATAGGGTGGATGGGGTAGGGCGGAGGAATATATACACGCATACTGTTGATATAACATATGCATTACGATATGTATAGAATGTATGTAAGTAGTAAATATGTGGGTATTTACATGTTTGTGTCTGAGAATCGAGCTCAAGTCCATGTAGGTAAATGAATAGTAAAAATGCTTGTGGCGTGCACCCTTCATAATGAGGTGTTGGTATTTGAAGAAGAAATGTCTGGGGTCTTTTGCTGATGCTTTTGTTAGGTTGCTGATGCTCAGTTAGGTTGAAAGCCCAGCTGGAGAGTCAAACCTCCCCGGCCCACATGTGTCCTTTAGTGGTGTCCTAAATGCACTGGTTCTTAACATTTGGTCGAAGGGGATCCCACGTATCTTTGAGAATTTCCCAGAAAAACACATACAGATACACCAGATGCTGAAAAGAATTTCCAGGGTTTCTCAGATCTTTGCTCCCCACTCCCAACCCCCTCTGCCCAGGGATGTCTGTCTCCTTCCTCTGTGTTTCTGTTTTCCTCTCAGAAAGGGCTCCCTGACTTCACTTTAGAGAAGCCTTAGCCACCTCACTGCATCTCCTAATACCGGCTGCAATTCTCTGGTCCTTGCGGTCTGGTTTATTTGTCCTGTTTGCTTTTTTGTTGTCTGTTTGATGCCACTAGAGTGTAAAACTCTCTGCGGGCATGGGCCTTGCCTGTCTGGTTCATCCTGCATCTCCATCACTGCCTACCTGCTAAGGTTCCTAGGAGACAGGACAGGTGAGGGAACAGGAGGTTACCTAGGCCCTTGGAAGATGGTCTCTGGGGCCTCTTCTACTTTCCATTCTGTAGCTCTAAAACACAGACCTGTTCGTTTGTGCTCCGAAGGCCTAACAAGTAAAGTCCACATTCTTAGCCAGGCCTGCAGCCAGATTTAGAGGCCTGCACATCACCTTTCCTGGGCCTGCTACATGTCAAATGTGTCAGATGTTGCATGACTCCCCTGAGCACCCTCCTCCCTCCCTCTGCCATGTTAAATCCTATGCATGTAGATCTAGTTCACTTGTCTTCCCTGACACCCCAGGGAGAATTAATTGATCCTCTGACATCCCTATTTCAGGTTATATATAAATGGTTTGTTTATAATTTCTCATTCACTGTCACATAATTATTCAGTTATGATATTTCACTCATAAGCTTTCCAACACCTTCAAGGCAAGACCTGGCCTGTTCTAGTGGAGTGCCTGGCACAGGATAACAGTTACTCAATAAATGTTTGAATTAAATTGCTCCAAGAATAACATCACTAGAATATATGGTGTATGGTGTGGTGACTATCATCATGCTGAACATTTTCTATAGATGAACCATTTTTAAGACTCGTTAACAGCACAATGAATTTGATACTGCTAGTTATTCTTATTTTAGAAATGAGTAACCTGAACTTTAAAAATATTCAGTGACTTTTCCCAACTTACAATTACTTGAAAGATAGTACATTGGGTAAATACTGGGATCCATGCCTTCGCAGCTAACACTTTCTACAGATATGTCTAGCTGGGAAATGTTTTGTTTTTCCTCTGGACAGGAACAAAATTTATGTGTGCATGAGTGGGTGCAATTCACCTTTCTAGCTTACATCTCCATCTTCCTGGTTGGGTTTCTGTTTCTCTCTTTTCCTTTTCTTTTAGAACTTGATCTGATTCCTGATCCCTCTGAAAATTGTCATCCATAAATACATCCTCTCAGATACTTTTTTACCTTGACAGAATATATTTTGAAAAACCTTCCTTTCTGGTGACCAGGCTCACTGGACTGTTCCTTTCTCTGCAGGCCTTTTGTAAGCTTTGACATCAGTGTCAAAGTCAGGCCTCCCTCACATCCCTTGTTGAATTAAAACTTGGAGCACTGCAGGTGTAAAATTAGAGTGGCAGCAGAGTCTGTGTGGGGCACATCCCGCCTATGTGGTCAGGAGAAAAGTCCAAGGAGCAGAACTAAGTAGGAAATGTCGTGCATCCACGTGAAACAGAAGGGAAACAACTAAGAGAAGGATGATCTCTTCAAACCCTCGGGTCTGGACTGGACCCAGCCTGGAGAATAAGGAGTCAGGGGACAGTGGGCCGTGTCCCTTGCAGCTCAGGTCAAGTTCTAACATCAGTCCTTGACTTGAGAGAATGCTCCTTCCTTCTAAGGCCTGCTGGGATTCCATTTTCAGTGGTAGCCTGAGATTTGCCATACTTTAATTTTTTTAATTTATTTATTTATGCATACAAGAGCTGGGGTGTAGGGTAGAGGTGTGGGGGGTGAGAAGATTCACCAGAGACAGAGTGGGGAGCAGAGCAGGCAAATCTACTGAAATGCAATGCTAAGGGTAGCAGCGGGGAGACAGGAGAGGTCTGATGCGCCATGTAGGTCAGCTCCCTGGCTGGGGTTTGAATTTGTGCTACTGATACTGTGGATAGCTTCACAGTGCTGTGTTTAACCCCTTGTGCCACCAGGGAGGCCCTCCATTCTGTTTTGTCTTCAGTCACAGCCAATTATATTTATTCTTGATTTAGAACTCTGTTTCTGTGAGCATTTACTTTAAATATCCTAGCTCTCTGTAGAATTCCCTTTAAAGAAATCTAAACAAAAATATTTTTAGTTTGGAGTTGTGTTTTTGGTTTTAGAAATTAACCTTTAGTTCTCTGCTTCCTTAGCAATGCCTTGCTTGGGAGGATAGAAACACTTTCTTGCAGAAACACAAGAAATCTGGTTTAAAATCTATTCCCAGAATGAGGGCTTTCCTGGTGGTACAAGGGGTTAAACACAGCACTGTGAAGCTATTGGTAGCCACTGCAGCACGAGTTCGATTCCCAGCCAGGGCGGTGACTCACATGGTGCAGCTGACCTCTCCTATCCCCGCTGCTCCCCTCAGCAGTGTATTTCAGTCCCCACCCCCAGCTCTTTATGCATAAAATACATCTTGAAAAAAAAAATCAAATAAAATCTATTCCCAGAATGAATGTGATAGTGCTGTACACGGATATGCTTCCCAGAGAAGCTAAATGCATCGATGAGTATATTCTGCATCTGTTGCTGCTGCATATGCTGCGGCTGGTACTTTGCATAAATTCTCAATCACGTGTTTCCACCTTTGATTTTTTTCTGCAAGACTTGATTTCTGAGCTTGCATGGCTTCCTAAGTCTTCCTAGCCCTCCGGGTGCCCACAGCCCTATTTTCCTTGCCTTTATATCATAAATTTCCTTTGAATATTGTCTTGAGTTTCAGGATCAAAACTTACTTTCTGGTGCCAGGAAAGCTGTGGCTGGACTCCTCTTTCTGGTAGCTGGGCGCCTGCTTGGCACGGAACACTCTCTTTAGAACGCTCTCTTTAAGAAACTTGGAGATGATCTTCTCCCTTTGAACGTTGCTGAACACCTTGCCATCTGGAAGCCAGCTGATCTTGTCACATCCACCATGGCAGAGGGGAAGGTGCTCCGGAGACACAACAGCCTTCTTTGGAACAAAAAGACAAAGAAAAAGGACTTGAAGGACATGTCTGTTACCCAAAAGTCAGGAATAAGAGACCAACCTAACTAGAAAAACAACCCAGGTCTTGCCACTGCTATGCTGTGGGATCAATTTAGTTAATAACACTGCTGGCGCCTGAGTGGCCCGGCCGGCCCTTCTTAGCAACTCATTGTCACTATAAGGAAAGCATCGCAGGCTTCAGGCTTTGGAGGAATCTTTCTCACCTTTCCTGGCGAGAAAATGGTACTCTCACAAATGCCACTTTGAAAAGGCACATATATTTATTGCTCATTGAAGTCTAGACATGGACATATGCAGACTGGAAAAGCAAGATATAAAACGGAAGGATGGGTTTCATCCAGGAACATGGGGGTGGCTGGCTGCTGTCCAGATCACACAGGTCTCCCTTCTCCACCCTCAACTCCTGTCCCTTAACAGTGTTCTCTCCACACCATCAGCAGAGGAAGTGAATGAGATGGGTTCCTTGAGGAAGTGCTACCCACTGCAAAATCAGATGATTTATTTAAAACTAAAATGGAATCATTCTGGGGCCTCCCTGTTAGCGCAAGGGGTTGAGACACAGCCTGTGAAGCTGTCCACAGCCTCTGTAGTACGAGTTCGATCCCCGGCTGGCCAGGAAACAATCCACATGGCGCAGCAGACCTCTCCTGTCTCGTCCGCTGCTCCCCTCAACAGTGTACTTTCATTGATCTGCCTGTTGTTCCCCGTTCTGTCTCTGGTGAATCATCTCACCCTCCCGCCTCCCTCACCCTACACACACCCCTCTGGCCTGTACCCCTGCTCTTGTATGCGTAAATAAATAAATCTTTTTTAAAAAGGTAATCATTCTGGCTTGCTTCAGATTTCAACCAAGGACCATAAACTTCAGAGAACTAGCTAAAAAAATTCCATCAACTGCTATTTAGAGTAATGACTGAGAAACATAGGTGGATTACAGTGTGTGGAGAACCACCTTTTAATAGCTGATTTCCTTGGCCTGTGGACCAAGGAACACATAGTTTGCTCTTTCCTAGTTGGGTCCTATAAGGATTTAAACTCCTAAACTCAAGGTGCTTGGATGGAAGTAGCCTCTGGCTATGAGAACATTCTACCCCAACCCTCCCACCAATCCCTTTCTCTCTGAAAATCTCCTGAGATGTTGAGAACCACATTATATTTAAGAGGTCTGGGTAGTTCTACAACTTATTTCAAAGGGAATTCCTTTAAAGTCTACCTTTTGTTTATTTTTTAAAGTTTTATTTTTTAAGTCTGCTAACTGAACATTAAGCCATGAATTTTTCTGTCTCCTGCTCTTGACGCTGTTGTATTTTATGAGCTAATCATGATTGATACCGAACGCCGACCTCAGTTTCCCTCAGCCAATAAAAGAAAACAGAGTTTGAGGAAAAGGAAAGTGATTTAATTTGTTGACAAATGAGGAGGGCAGCAGACTCATGTCTGAAAGACAACCGTCCTGCTCTTTGGCAGAGGGCAGGGGTATTTATACAAAGGGGAAAAAAAAGGGGGAGATGGGTGAGGGCCTGCAAAGAGGGGGTGATGGGGTTGGCACAGAGACAGGTGGGTACCAGCTTGCTTTTTCTAACACCCTTTTCCTTGGAATGCAAGAAGACAAACCTGTCAAACAAGGGGAAATTGCAAGAAATATGGGAAAGACAAATTTGTTAATGCTTATCTGAGAGACCAGTCATTTGTAACTGCATCATAATGGCCTTGGCCAAAGGTTTTAAGTCTGGTGAGCAGCTGGCAGACTGGCTTTTGCATTGCTTGCTGTGCCCACATGACTTTCCCTATTTCTCAGCACTTTGCAAAGTGATTACCTGCCAGTTCATGGAGGAGAGATGAACCTGCTGTGATGAACCTGCCTCAGTGGCTGTGCCTGTTGCAGGAGTGGCCACGGTAAACCTTACTATTGGCATCTGTCCCCAAATGTGGGAGTAGTTCTTGGCAGCTTCTCTCTTGCTTGGGGCAGAGCTATCAAATTTGGTGCTGGTGGAGGATTATTTAGAACTTGTGCTGGGTTCTGCTCTGGGTCCACGATAAAGAGTGGCATCCAGCAGGAAAGCTAAGGCAGGAGCATTTTGCTTTGTTTACTTTGTCTCCTCGGTGTTCATTTGCATAAGAGGGTAAGAAGCAGCTTGACTTTTTACCTGTGTTAATCTGGACATTTCCTCAGTTTTGGACGATGAAGCTTTCCTCAGTACAGCTCAAGAACTATGCTGATGTAACCACTCTCCCTCAGGGCCTAGCTGGTCTGTGGAGCTTAATTATGTACACGGCCTCTCTTAATGCCAGGTGGGAAAATAACACTGGATGAGTGCTCACCAGGATTCCTTCTTCCCTTTAGGAAATCACTCTGTTTTCCTCAGACATTGTCCGTGTCCAACAGGAAAGTGGAGTTTCTATCTCAGATCCCTGTCAGACTTGGCACAGTATTTCCAGTGTGGCTGATTTCCCCTGGTTTGAAGTTGTAGGATGAGCACTCAGGATTCCAGGCCAAGATGTGAGGTTCATTGTGACCCTCAGATTGTTCAGCCACCAGAGATCCAAATATAGATTCCTTGCTATCTTCTTAGAGATGGATGAAAGTGGGGGGACAGAATAATCGCCAGGGACACCACACTTCAAATTCTTTCTGTGGACTCTCCAGTTCCATGGGTAATCATGGGGACCATCAAGAAAAATCACACCGTACTGAAACTTCCACTGTTGGACACGTTCAACACACCGAAAAACTATGACCATCCTGAGGTTCTGAGACACACCTTCGAGACACTCTCTAGCCTGCACAAGCTGCTCCCGAATCATCTATTGGAAAAGCTTCATTCCTACAAGAGTGAAGAGGACAAAAGAAAATGTATGTGCTTGGAGGGTGGGTGGGAACCCCCTTGTGTCAGCATATACTTTCTCTTGGCACAGCCTATCTGTCCTTTCAGCCATGAATAAGTCCTTGAGACCCAGGAGCCCATCTGGACTGATTTTACTGAAGGGACCCATTTTCTCAGAGATTACTATGGAATTTACCCCTCTGCTAACCTCACTATCATGGCTCCTTTTTGTTATTATGCTATTTTACTGAGGTGACATTGGTTTATACCACTATATATAATACAGAGGTGTAGATTCACATCTCTTCAGATGTATGTTACCACACCACCCCCACCTCAGAGCACCCATTGTCCACCACCACAGTCCATTGGGTCTCCCCCCACTCTGGTAGGCTAAATTCTGTCAAATTTCTGCTTGCTTTGTTTCTTTATTTTCTTTATTTTTTAAAGATTTATTTTTATTTATACAAGAGCTGGGGTATAGGCCAGAGTCATGGGAGGGTGAGAGGACTCACCAGAGACAGAGCAGGGAGCAGAACAGGCAGATGGACCGAAAGCACTGCTGAGGGGAGCAGCAGGCGAGACAGGAGAGGTCTACGTCACCATGTGGGATTCTCCCTGGCCAGCCGGGAACCGAACCGGCATTGCAGCGGCTGCAGACAGCTTCACGGCACTGTGCTCAACCTGCTGTGCCACCGGGGAGGCCCCTGTTTCTTTATTTTCATATGATTGATTTTGCTTAGTATCATATACCTTCCATTTCCCTTCATGTCGTCACAAATGTCAAGAATTCATCTTTCTTTTTCATAGCTGAGTTGTATTCCATTGTGTATATGTACCACCACATCTTTATCCACACCTGTGTCTCTGACACAGGTAGTGTCCATAACTTGGCAATTATAAATAGCCTCACCATTATCTCTCTCCTTTTATTCAACTATTCTTTTGCGAACCAGAAATACCTGTTGATCTTCTTTAGGCAAAGCATACCAATAGCAAGATAGAAAGGAGACTGAGTGGGAAATAATCACTAAAATTGCAATTTCAGACTTGGATTTGAATTTAAGGTGAATGAGAGAATGTCCAGGTTGAAGGTCAGGATTTGAAGTTTATATCTTTGCTCTACTTCCAGCTACTCCTTCCTTGTGTTGCCAGGATTATACCAACCCAGGGAGAACCGGACATTTCCCCTGAGGATTATAAGCCACCTTCATTGTTTGCAATTTGGAGTCATACTGTCCATCTGCCACTCCAGAAACTTGTTGGGGAAGTTGATAACTGGAGTGATTTGCAGAATGGGGTGGAGCCTGCCCTCTGAGTTCATACTTAAATGAAGGACAAAGGTACATGATAGCTACCTGAGTCCATGAATTTACAAAGCAAATAGAAGCTGCTGGAGTGATCACAGAGTGATTAACACACTGTGTATCGTACATGTAGGAAGGTATGTATTAGGATAATGATTTTAAAGCATTATGGCAAATTTGGCCATTTGTATTCTGATTAATCTCTAATCCCTGAATCCACATAATTGTGAATCAGGCCCAATATCCAGGTTACATAAAAATCATCAAGAAAAAGATAAGCAACTTAATACACCTGATAACTATTATAGACCCGCAATTCACAACATGAAATACAAATCACCCACAAACATGAAAGATGTTTATGCATTCTGGTGAAAGACAAATCAAGGAGATATTTATTTGTAGGTCATCGTACTGGTCAAATTTTTATTTCATTTTTTTTCTCTTAGTATCTATTTTTAATTAATATTTTATTTTATATAATTCTTACATCATTTTCCATTTTTGCACAATGTATGCATTATCATTTTGGTTTATAGTCCCCATACAATTGCACCCCCCACCCCCTTATTTTGACCCTAGTCCTTCCTCTTTCCTTCCCTCCCCTCTCCCCCTCCGTGGTATGTCTCTGGTTTATAGTTCCTTGTTGATTTTGATTTTTACTTTGTATTAGTCTTTTTCCTCGTGCCTTATTTAGGTTTTCTAAATTCCTGCTATGAGTGAGACCATCCAGTATTTATTTATTTATGCATACAAGAGCTGGGGTACGGGCCAGAGGTGTGAAGGGTGAGTGGATTCACCAGAGACAGAGTGGGGAACAGAACAGGCAGATTGACTGAATTACAATGATGAGGGGAGCAGCGGGCGAGATAGGAGAGGTCTGCTGCGCCATGTGCACAGCTCCCTGGGCAGGCAGGGATTGAACTCATGCTGTAGAGGCTGGCGATAGCTTGACAGTGCTATCATCAACCCCTGAGCCACCAGGGAGGCCCAAGAATGTTTTGATGAAGGAAGCAATGGATTGAATTACAGGGTGGCCCAGCTCTTTGTCTCATTGCAGATGGGCAACTTGGTGGGGGGTCACTGAGGCCAAGATGTAGCAGTGGATGTGACGCAAACGCACAGTGTGGTTAACGTCCTCGAAGATAAAATAACCGTACCATCACTTGCCATTAGTTTACAAATCATGCACAAACTACACAAATTACCTTCAGTATTTATAACGGGGACTGGCACATCTGTTTATTCATTTGCTTGTTCATTCATTCCTTTGCTGTGCCCCTATTTGCTGTTGCCGCGGACCAGCACAGCAGTGAACGATGAGGCCGTCTCGGGACGGTTAGCCCTAAAGGTCACTGCAGGGGGAGGTGCAGCAGCTGTCAAGGATCAGGCTAAAGTGAAAATGTCCCTCAGTAATATTGTTGGAATGAAGGAATATTAACATTAAATAGCAGTTCTCAAATGGCATAAACATTCTCTCTCAAGGTAACACCAATGTGGATGTGGGCAGGAACGCTGAATTGCTTATTCTATTCCTAGGTGAGGATCCTGAACTCTCTGGATTAGAAAGAGTCTTAAAAAGACATGAGTATCCAAAGGAGATTAACCTGAGCCCAAAGCCGAGCAGTATGCCCCTGTGGCAGAGAAACATCATGAACACTGCAAACCGGAGTAAATGCCAGAAGAGCACCCCCAATACTCCAATGTCGGCGATCGTCGTCAGGTAGGTGACCAGCTTTTGTCCTATACATACTTTAGGAGATCACGGATTCTTCATGCCTTCGCCAAAAATTGTGGTCTTTGAGATACATGTGGTCTTTGAGGTACATGTGGTCTTTGAGGTACATGTGGTTTTGGGGTACAGGGCAGCCTGGAAACGAGCACTGCTCTCTGTCAAAGCCCGTGAGCCCCATTTTCACACCACTGAGCATCTGGAGGAGCCCTTACTGGGAGAGAACTGGGGACAGGAGCAGTTGTGTGGGCTCTCCATGGGCAGCTGCGTTCTAGGTGAGTGAGCAGAGATCTGGGGGGATGAGAAGGAGTGCCCTGGGAGAGGGACCTGACCACTGGGCACTGGGGCTTTTATGCTTCAGGATTCAGGAGGCACCCCCCACCCCAGCATGCCCAGGGCCTAGGTTAACGAGCACGAGTGGGTAATTTGGGCATTATCCCGCGACTGTTAGGTTGTACACTGAGAGAAATGGGAGGTGTTGCAAGAAGGCGGCAACAAGGTCTGGCTTGAACCCTCTGCAGCAGGGGTGGCCAGAGGAGAGGTGTGGCCCTGGGACCAAGTGCTAACAGCGGTGATGTGGAATTGGCTGGACTTGGCTTTCAAAGTTACAAGCTTATGTTCCCTGGCAAATTACGTTTGCTTGATTGATCCACTCATCTGTTTTGAGGCACTTAAGTTGTTCCCATGTCTTGGCTATTGCAAATGTAACAGGGTGGTCCCAGGAAAAGGTGAGGTTCCAGGTTCCCTGCCCCACCCAGGTAGGGTGGAGCTAAGCAGGGAGGAAAAGCTGGAGAGGAGACTGGAGAAGGGAGGAGGAAGGATGGAGAGTAAGGAAACCTGGAGGAGGCACCTGGAGCAGACGTGTGAAGAAGCCGCACTTGCTTCCTGGTCCTGGCCTGGTTGGAACAGATGTGGGTGAGAGACCCGTGGGGAGGTTAACAATGGCAGCTTTTATCTTGGCTTTGAGTTTGTTCTTTTCCTCCCAGACTTGTCTGACTGTTTCTCACCCTTTTCTATGGGTCCCCGACGGAAAGTGCTTTAGACTTAGGGCAACTTTCCGGCCTTCCTCAGGGCCAACCCTGTTTGGCTGGACATTTACCCATGAGGGAATGGGTAACTGGGTGCTTGATTTGGAAACTGTATTGTCTTTTCTGTATTGCACACTAATTGCATTAAAACTTTCTATTAAAGTTCTATTAGAACTTTCTATTAAAGTTCTTATGTTTTGTCTTGATGCAGCGGACGGTAGAACCTTTTTAGAGCAGGCAGGTTTGGAGGTTCTGGGGTGTCCCTCTTCCTGCCCTGTACCAGAAATAGTGCTGCAATAAACATAGGTGTGAAGATTTCCTTTCAAATTAGTGTTTTTGTGTTCTTTGAGCAGATTCCTTGAGTAGGATTGCTGGATCATATGGTAGATCCATTTTTAGTGTCTTGAGGAACCCGCCGCTGTCTTTCCCATAGGGACTGGACCCCCATCTACACTCCCACCAACAGTATCTGGGGTGGGGTCCTTCTCCGCATCCTCACCAGCACTTTTTTCTGGCCTTTCCTATTTGGGCCATTCTCAAGGGTGCAAGATGGTATCTCACTATGGTTTTGATTTGCATTTTCCTGAGGGTGAGTAACAAAATTTTTTCTTGTGCCTGTTGGCCATCTGTGTCTTCTTTGGAGAAGTTCTTATTTAGCTCTTCTGCCCATTTTTTGATTCAATCATTTCTTTTTTTTTTAAAGATTTATTTATTTATGCATACAAGAACTGGGGTGTAAGCCAGAGGTGTGGGGGTAGGAGGAAAAGGACAAAGAGACATAGTGGGGGGCAGAACAGGCAGATCCACCAAAATACACTGCTGAGGGGAGCAGCGGGCAAGACAGGAGAGGTCTGCTGCATCAGGGTAGCTTCCTGGCTGGCCAGGGATCGAACTTGTGCTGTAATGGCTGGAGATAGCTTCATAGCACTGTCTTTAACCCCTGTGCCACCAGGAAGGCCCCCAATCATTTGTTTTCTTTTTGTTGAGTTAAGTGAACTCTTTGTATATCTTTAATATCAGTCTCTTGTGAGATGCGTGGTGTGAAAATATTTTCTCCGATTCAGTAGGGTGTCTGTTTGGCTACCGTCTCTTTCACTGTACAGAAGCTTTTTCTGTTTGCTGTAGTTCCAGTTGTTTATATTCCCCTTTTTTGCTTTTTAATGCATATTATTTTCCTGATTTCCTTTAGTTCTTTGTTCATGTTTTCCTTTAGTTCTCCTGCATATATTTGATAATTGTTTTAAAGTCTTTGTTTAGTAAATATGGGCCTATATCAGGGGATTTTGGTTTATTTTATTTGTATCTTTTACATCATTGTGTAGTCCCCATAAAATGCCCACCACCAATTCACCCGTGAACCATCACCAAAGTCCCTTGTGCTCTTCTCTCCCCTGTTTTGATCTCTTTTCCTCCCCCTCCTTCACAGAATGTCTCTAATTTATGGTTGTCTGTTAATTTTTTAAATTATTATTTTTTCCTGATCTCTTATTTGTTAACTTTATAGTCCTCCTATAAGTGAAACCATCCAATATTTTTCTTTTTCCTTCTGGCTTATTTCACTGAGCATCGTCCCTTCCAGCTCCATCCATGTTGCTGCAAATGGCATGAGTTTATCTTTTTTGATTGCTGAGTAATATTCCATTGTGTAAGTAGAACACATCTTCTTGATCTAGTCATCTATTTTTAGGCATTTGGGTTGTTTCCATAGCTTACCTATTGTAAATAGTGCTACAGTAAACATAGGGGTACAGGCATCTTTTTGAATTAATGTTTTTGTGTCCTTTGGGTAGATCCGTAGGAGTAGAATTGCTGGATCATATGGAAGCTCCATTTTTAGTATTTTGAAGAACCTCCACACAGCTTACCATAGTGGTTGGACCAGTCTGCACTCCCACCAGGAGAGTTCCTTTTTCTCCACATCCTTGCCAATATTTGTTGCTTCCTATTTTTTTAATATGTGCCATTCTGACTGGTGTAAGGTGGTGTCTCATTGTAGTTTTGATTTGCATTTCCCTGATTACAAGTGATGTTGAACATTTTTTCATATGCCTGTTGGCCATTCGCATTTCCTTTTTGGAGAAGTGTCTTTTTAGCTCATCTGCCCTTTTTTTGACTGGATTGTTTGTTTTGTTGTGTGAGCTCTTTGTAGATTTTTGTGATCAGTCCCTTATCAGTTGTATTGTGTGCAAAAAACTTTCTCCCAGGGATTTTGTTTTTCAAATTAATGTTCAAAAATGTTTCTCTGTTTCTTCTTATGCTTTGATCTTTCCCTGAAAATAGAGCATTTAAAAAAATCAGTCACCCATTTTTTTTTAAAGATTTATATATTTATTTATTTATACAAGCACTGGGTACAGTCAGAAGCACGGGAGGGTGAGAGAATTCACCAGAGCCAGAGCGGGGAGCAGAACAGGCAGAAGGATCGAAGTACACTGCTGAGGAGAGCAGCGGGCAGCAGGAAGGTCTGTGCGCCATGTGTTACCCTCCTCCAGTTGCCGGGGAGCAGCCAGGGATCAAACGGGCGCTGCAGAGGCTGCGGTCAGCTTCGCAACCCAGCGCTCAACTGCTGCGCCACCGGGGAGGCCCCAGCCACCTATTTTTTGACTGGATTATTTTCTTTGTTGTTGAGTCTCATCAGCTCTTTGCAGATTTTTGTGATCAGTCCTTTATCATTAGTGTTGTGTGCAAAAATGTTCTCCCAGTTGGTGGGGTTTCTCTTTGTTTTGGTTATTGTCTCTTTTGCTGTGCAGAAGCTCTTTAATTTGATGTAGTCCCAGCTGTTGATCTTTGCCTTCACTATCACTGCTTTGGGTGATGTGTCTGTAAAGATGTCTTTGAGGTGTATGTCATGTAGTGTTTTGCCTAATTTCCTTCTATATATTTTATGGTTTCAGGTCTTATGTCTAGCTAAGCTATGGAAACAACCCAAATGCCCAAAAATAGATGACTGGATCAAGAAGATGTGGTACATATATACAATGGAATATTACTCAGCAATTAAAAAAGATAAACACATACAGTTTGCCACAACATGGATGGAGCTAGAAGGGATCATGTTCAGCGAAATAAGTCAGAAAGAAAAAGAAAAATACCAGATAGTCTCACTCATAGCAAGAATTTAGAAAACCTAAATAAGGGACCAGGAAAAAGACTAATTAATACAAACTAAAAATCAAAATTAACAAGCAACTATAAACCAGAGACATACTACAGAGGGAGGGCGGGATGGGGAGAGGAAGGATTAGGGTCAAAATAAGGGGGGTGCAATTGTATGGGGAATATAACCAAAATGAAAATTCATACATTGTGCAAAAATGAAAAATGATGTAAGAATTATATAAAATATTTTAAAAATTTAAAAATTAAAAAAAATAAATCAGCCACCTCAGGGCCTCCCTGGCGGCGCACGGGCTTAAGATCCAACCTGTGAAGCTATCCGCAGCCATTGCAGTGCAAGTTTGAGCCCCGGCCAGGAAGATACCCACATGGCACAGCAGTCCTCTCCTGACTCACCCGCTGCTCCTCTCAGCAGTGTATTTCAGTCGATCTGCCTGTTCTGTTCCCCACTCTGTGTCTGGTGAATCCTGTCACCGCCTCACCCCACACCTCTGGCCTGTACCCCAGTTCTTGTATGCATAAATAAATAAATCTTTAAAAAAATAATAAAGAAAGAAAAAATCATCCACCTCTCCCAGTATGCACAATGGTGGGTGGGACTTTCTCTAATTAGCAGGCATCAGTCTGGTGATCAGCCTATTTGTCTCAGTTCTCTTCTGGGAATGCTTTCTAGCTGGACCTGTTTTACTTTCAGGTTGAAAAAATTTCCCCCCAGGTTGCTTTTAAATGTCTTAATTTCACAGTGTCCTTCCAGCTTCTTCCCGGGCCGTAAATGTCTCATGGTGTTCCTTCTGCTCATACTCTCTTGTTCTACATTTGTGGGTCTGCGGTCAGTGTGGATGTTCC